ATTATGAACATGCAAAGGTGAAAACAATCAAAATAAGTTTGGAATAAGAAGGGGAGGGGGGAGCAGCTACACGAGGCCACCCCAATTATCATTACGACAAACACCAGCGGAAACAAATTTGATGAATATTACACAGGATGATTTTTTTTGATAAATATAATAGAAAAGTACATAAATGAAACAATGACACTTGAATCATATAAGGTTTATAACACGGTATCCCCTTCTCCAGGGAAAAATATCCCCAAGTTTGAAAAAAGAAAAAGAAAAAAGAGTGTTGCAAAAGATGATACAGCTCGTGTGGTTTCAATCCTTAAGGGGACCTTTCACCAGAAACTAGTTTACAACACCAGCAGGAAACTACCAATCTTCCACCATGGTGGTACAAAGAAAAATTGAATAGTTCCCGGAAGTAGTATCATCAAAAGACAGACCAATATAGTCCAGTCTCAGATAAGTTAATAATCCAATAGCCCAGCACAATCTAGCTGACACCATTGCCTTCCCTGCTCTTCTCCCAGGATTCATCGCCAAATACTTCTTCAATCACACTACATGTTGGCAAGAAGTCAAGGCCCTTGTCTAATCCTTGGAAGTAACCAATGTCCCATGGCCTCGGATCACAATGATCAACTACAAAATCATGATCAGTCATACCGCTCACGCCTTCACTCCTGTATTCAGGATGGAGGTCCCCATGGTCACCCTCCGAAACATCTCCACGACCACCAGAAGAGTCGTTACTGTTGTGTTGGGCCTCATAGGATGTGCAAGAGTCATCGTGCACTTCGTGGTCTTCCCCAGTAGAATCATGTAAATTCAACCCCATACGTTGATTATTAGGACTAAATCTTGATTTATCACCGGCAACTCCATCATAAATTCCATATTCTTCATGTTCACAATAATCTTCTTCTGCATCCTCATGGATATCTACTAAGCCATCACCATGAACCACATTGTCCTGCGCAGCAGCATCTTCTAGTGACTCCACCCCTGAATCATCTTCACCTTCTCCAAACTCACCATTGCTACTCTCTTGCCACTCGTCATTGTCACTATCTACATTTAATGGATCAGATCTGTTCTGTTCCGCTCTCTTCCGAAGCATAAAGACATTGAAGTAGTAGCTAACAAGCTCTTTGCTGTTTCTAGAGGGGAAAACTTGAGGAAGATCATCCCAGAAGTTCTTGCCTAACGATGTAGGATTGCATGCTACAACTTCATGGAACAGTTGTTCCTCCTCTTCGGTCCATCGCAAAGCTACATCTTCTCCCATGTCACATAAACCCAGCTCTACAAATCGCTCATGCCCTAGGATACTCCTAAGTTCTTCTCTTGCTTCCATCACATGCTGTCTCACACATCTAATTGAGCCCTCATCCAAGCAGTAACAGTCAATCTTGCCGTGTCCAAGTGAAACATTCAACCTCAGTGATGTTGAATCAGGCGTTGGGATAACACAGTGACCACTCCATTGATCACCAAGGTTGTCATCAGTTGAAAAATGCCCAGCTGATGTTGAAGCACCAGGACCATCTCTATGGGAATCATGGAGGCTTTTGGATTTCCACACAGGAATAATTGCTTGATGATCTTCTCCGATAGCTACACGTTTTCGCAGAGGGTAGTCGAAAACAAATGACTTGGATTCTTCTACTCGATTAAATCGAACAGGCCGGTGGTAATCTTCATAATATCCAGGAAAAAAGGATAGCCGAACAGGTGATTCCAGCCAAGACTCATCATCCGTGCTGTATGAGAACCATTGAAAACTAAAATTGCTGCCATGAGAACCATTACTACTCTGAAGACCAGCAGCATCCTTTCGATCCTTGAACCCATTATCAGAGGGGGCTGAAACAAAATGGACTAGACTTTAAAGCCTTGCCTGTCACACAGAAAACTGTCAACTAACACTAAATTTATTTATACTTACAGGCAATAAGAGGTTCCTCCTCACAGGTGCCAATGAAGGAAGAAAATTTTCCATCCAGTTGCCTTGTGCGCTTTACAGAAACTTGGAGGTTTTCATCATCACTAAAAGGTCGTTTGCTGCTCTCCAGCCTAGCAATTTCATTGTCACTGCGCATTACCTCTGGCAAGCTGGATGTTTTCTCAGTGGTAAACCCAGAATTACTGTGGGAGTTAACAGCATCCAAAATTTCCAACTTAAAGTTGCCTCCACTGCTAACTCCATCTTTGGAGGATCAACATAAAGATTTGTCAATAGAAATGCTTAGTTGACATTTTCAAGTTTTTATATGTAATTTGCGTGTTTTCTTTTACCTGGAAAAGGTTGTTTATCAGGAATATGTCTATGTGAAGATGCAAATTGATCATGGCAATCTAAGTTCGTCATGTGCTGGAACGAAAACTGGAGAGAATCATCATGCTCCAATGGCAGCTCCAATGGCAGGTTGTTAAGCTTAAATACCATTTTTTTATTTCTGGCAAGTGAAGGAATTTAACAGAACTAATCAGATGATTCTCATCACTATCATCTTGAAAATACACTATAATATGCAGAAGAAAGAATTGCCTTCAGTAAGTAAATAGCAAGTATCAGAATTCAGCGCTGGTAGACACTTCTACAATAGTCAAAGTAAACTTGCTATAACGAACTCACGTTAAACCGTATAAAGTAGGACGTTAACATCTATTACTATACAGTGCGATGGACACTTACAAATAAACAACGTAATTCCAAAAGCAATGTAATTCCAGATGGGTGGAATGAGGTAAGGTGTCCAAAACAATAAAAAAACATCAACAAACAAGTAAGAGAGCCTACCATGCTCTAGTAAAAGAAGCTCTAGAGATTTCAATCAGAGGCTAATATCTATTTTATAAGAGTAACCATGGTTGTAAGCTAACAAGATGTATCCTATCCATTTTATGCTAGCTTCGAGATATTAATCAAAACTAATATTTCTATAAGCCCCAGTGAAAGCTGTATTAAACTCTAGGCACTCTCATATAATGAAGCTGTTATGAGATATTATCATATAACTCTAGACTGTTTTACCCTCATCTCTATGTATGATAGGAACCCATGACATTCTCCGAATAGACTCAGGTATACTTGCTTAATGCAAATTGCACGATATAAACAAGTTGGGTGAAATTTTATCAAATTTTCCCATTAAAAATATATATGCATTGGGATTAAAAAAAATCTGAGATAGGCAACTTATTAATGGACTTCACTAGATGCACAAAAGGCAATGCATACGCCAAGAAGGTAGTAAACAAAATCCTACTGAATTAGACAGCAGTCCCGAGCACTTTTTTCTCAATCTATGACATGGGCCAAAAGAACATTTCCCAGCTGACACAAAGTATTACTTTTTCCTGTCCATGGACATACCAAAATCATAGATACTACGGATGCATAGTATTTGCATAGTAGCAAGGTGGCGTATGAGTACTGGCATAATATAGCAAGAAAATAGCATTTTTACAACAAAAAGAGTGTCGTAAATAGTAGATAACAGTGTGAACTTGCACTTCTAAAAACAGAGGTAAAAGATGGTTTAAGCGCCCAATTAAGGGCGAGGCTTTCAAGCCATTTTGATTATAAGTCATGTCACCCAGGTACTTCTATCATGAAGGCGTACCCATACCCAACACGCACCTGAAACCTATTCGTACCCAAACTTCACGAATATTCCTCGGATATATGCATACATTTATTCAGACGTGCTCAATTATATGATATATGTTTTAATCTAAAACATTTGTCAAGCACTTCTTGAACGTATACCTTACACTTCACAGTGCTCACATCCATTTCCTGAAACTTGTTAGACATGGTTTGGGTTAGTTATAGCCCATACCCAAGTTCAAAATTGTGATTTTAAAAGATCATCTGGGTGTCTAGTTCAAATCTGAGTAGCTTCCAATTTATAGTAATCAGCATAATAAAAGAAACTAAAAAACATAATAGAAATTCTAATTCTAGTAACACATGAATTAACAAACAATAATAATCTAATGTAAATTATTAGTTTCAATATACATATGTACATGTGTCCCCATAGCCTACATTTTACAAATTTCGCCAATTCCCATACCCATATCCGCACCCGTGCCAGTATCAATACCCAAACCCGTTGTCATGCAACTTAGATTATTAGACACCGCAAAAGCTAAGGGAGATTTCAAATATTTACATGGGTCAAAATCCAAAAACCTCCATGTAACATTATGTAACGTGCTATAGAAATTTGCAAAAAACTCTAGATTCAAAATACATAGTAAATAAAGATAAAAATAATAAAGTATCCCTCCCTACAGAGTAGGGTGCAATTTAATTCCAAGTAGTAAACAATTTCTAAGAAGCTCCAAAATTATTTTCAAATGGGTAAGAAAAGTACATTCAACAGTGATTACCCTTACACCATGTTTGGATTGGGTACTACTTTGAATTGACAAGTCTTTATCCGTTAAAAATAAAATAGTTAAGCGTTTGGTTCAAAATTTGTAGAGAAATTAGGCCGGACTACTTACCCATTAAAATGAAATAGGCCAAAGAATCCGCACTAAACACAATGAGGGAGCCAATTTTATTGTAGTCCAAGGACTATTTACCATTTCAGATTAGATCGGAAAAGACCCTTTGTCCCTTACATTTTCTAAAATTTATCTAGTGTTCCCCTCTCTAATTCTCTCTTTCATCAATCTATTTCTTGCCGATTCTTCAAGCAGAATAGAGCAGCCTTTTGATGGCCAATAAATAATCCGACTAGAGGCAATACTTGAAATTGGTAATCTAACTAGAGGCGGAAATTGAAATCTATGTAGAAGTGCCAATGGAAAAGCAATGACCAAATGGGTCCAACACTGATCTCTAACATATTGTGATACAGCATAAAGATTATTTCATGTTATTTAGGTAGGTAGCAAAGATTATTTCATGTTCTTTGGGTAGGTAACAGAGTGTTGGCAATACACTAGCATAATAAGCTTAACAATAAAGATGAACAAAGAACTAACTGTGTATTCATTGTTTTACATAACGTAATATTACCTCAAGCTTTTTATACAAGTATGTAGCAATTATTTTAGTATATAGTAATAAATACTAATTGTTTTAATGCTTATATTTGTTCAATCAAATGGTTTTGACTTGGGGTATGTCCAAAATTACCGAAACTCTGCCAAAATACACACAGACTCAACTAAAGTCATGAGTAGTAGGCATAAGGGCATTGTGGACAATTGATGTTATCTCCTAATATTATATCACTTTACAATGACAACCCAAACATGGCACATGTATTAAAAGTGTAAATAACAAAATAAACCATACAAATTATTAAAAGTTTAACTCACTATAGTCTGTAGGACTATTATATCCCAGGACTATAGAGAGTGAAATTAGTCCGGGGACAAAACAAGTCACCACTCCAAACATAGGCATACGCTTATGACCAACATAAAGCAGACAAGATAAAATCAAAAAAACCCTTAAGCCCAATTAAAAAATAATAATAATAAGTAGTAAGTACAATGGCATTTGCAAAGACTAGAGATGAATTTGGGAGCACGGAACTACCTCTAGAAAGTTATCCAATGGAAAATGTGGGCCACCTCCAATGAAGTACTACCGGTAGTGAGAAGAAAATAAAACAAGAACGAATCCTGAATGACTACAATTCTCAAACACCCAAACAAGATGGACAAGAGAATTCAAATTTTATAAGTAGGAAGTCGAAACAATAAAAAATAAGAAAGAATCAATCAAAAATTTAAACCCAATTCAATACACGGAGTACACAAAATATGCAAAAAGAAAAAATATATCCAGAATCAAACAGATTCCAGAAGCCCTAACCCTAGATCCGCCTCCAGCAACAGAAAGAAAGATCGGGATCAATCGAGGGGGAGGGGAGTCACAATAAGATCTAAAACTATCTATTAAGGATAAAAGACCCACCGATCGGGATTGAATCAATGATAAAACAAAAAGCCCCAAAATTTTGGAAACCCTAACCCTAGAACCGAATCAAGGCGTCAATTTAGAAAGAAATTGGTAGCAATCGAAAGAAGGCACAGAGATCCGGTTGACTTCGGAATCAATTTGAGGATATGAAAAAGAATCGAAGGTGAATCTAGATCGAAATCGGGTGAATTTGGCGGGGAAAGATGAATAAGAGCAGAGAAAAAGATCGGGCTTTTATTTTGTTTATTTTTCGGGTAATTTTTTATAAATAAATTCGTGGTCCGAGCACACGATCGACCACCGGCATCTTTTAAACCGGCTTTCTATCTCCGGTCTTAAAGTCACCTAAAATTACTTGTACGACCAACAGCATTTTATAAAAAGGGCAGCGAATGAAGAATTTATGAGGGTATTTTAGGAAATATGATAGGATAATGCTGAGGAGAGAAAAGCCACGTCTCGACAATATTGATAATAAAATCTCATCCGTTAATCCTGCGGGGCCCGTCTTAATGGACGGTCTAGATTCAAGAACATTGACGTCGGCTGTATACTAGTTCGGTCTGAGGATCTCGAATCGGTCCAATTGAACCGCAGTAGCGCGCGCAAGAGAATCAGCCGTTGGTTTTTTTTATGGATTCGTTGTCTGCCGTTAAATCCACAAGCATGACTAAGTGGACAGCCCGGTTGATTGCTGCTAATGATTGGTACACGTTGACTATGATTAGGTCATATTTTTGTATTTTGCAAATGTTGAAAAGATGAATTACATCAAATTAGGGGGTGTTTGGTTCAATTTCTAGAAATTATAGGAAATGTTTTCCACCTAAAATATGATTTCTTTGTATTTCTCAAAAAAATTATAGGAAAAAGTTTGAGAAGTCAAAAAGTACCAATTTTCTTGTTTTTTTGTATTTTGCTTGTTTGGTTCAAAACAAGAAAATAACTCATAACTTTATAGAAAATAACAAGATTTCTTTTTCTTTTGTTTGGTTACATACGTCAAATTTATAGAAAAGTATCAACTACCATCTTTATCACTTTAATGGCTATGCACATATACAAAATTTTCACATCATTAAATCTTATAAAAAGCCAATGATAGAGCTAAACAAGCTCGAATACGAATTGATAACTTTCCCCGAAGCATGACAACATGCATGAATTGTTTTATATATTCAAGGGAAATGAACTTTGTTGTGATTATCTTGAAATTGCATGCATTTGTAAAAAATCAAGGTTTAGTCGAAATTAATACTACTCTACAATTCATAAATAACTAGTTACTATACGCATAATAGAACAATAACTTCACAATGTAGAAGAATAATATCACCACCACAAAAAGTAGTAACGTCTGAATTTGGTGAGACACCAAGAAGGCTAGTCAATTCTCTCTCTCTGTGACTATAATTTTCATATATAGAAGCTTGATACAGTGCATACCAAAACTAACAGCATTGTTTGAGACGGATTGAACTTTGTTGTGACCATAATTTTCATACATAGAAGCAATACGATTTTTATAAATGAAGTTTAATTAGAGCAAGAAATATATAAGATAACAAGGCAGCATTTACTTAAGTAACAACAAAAACTATTACACATTCAAACAATTCAGTCCAAACTCAAGCACATAATCAAATTGCCAAACATAAAAACAAAAACTATTACACATTCAAACAATTCAGTCCAAACTCAAGCACATAATCAAATTGCCAAACATAAAAAATAATTATACAAAAACAAACAATTCAGTCCAAACTCAAGCACATAATCAAATTGCCAAACATAAAAAATAATTATACAAAAATTATGAAATCAAGCTATCATAGGCCTAAGATCACAGATCGGGATATTTTTATACATATTCTAGTTAATGCTACAGCATAATATCAAAACTTTATGATCCATCGTGTACTAAAACGCTCGTCATCAAGTCAAAAGTTGCATATAACATCATATCTTGTAGTTGAAACTGAATATAATCTAAAAAGCTTCGGAACCTGTTGTAGAGCAATTACAAATTGATCAGCGGCAATAACACATCGTGTGCAGGTAACACAAATTTGAAGAATCAGGATACTAACTTGAAAAAACAGCCTCAAAGCTCGACAACGAGCACAAATATCGACCAAAAAACCCAACAATATAGAGCTAAACAAGCTCGAATCAGCAAACTAGATAAAACAGCCCTAAAACTCGACAACGAGCACAACTATCGACCAAAAAACCCAACAATATAGAGCTAAACAAGCTCGAATCAGCATACTAAATGGAAAAAACAGCCCCAGAGCTCGACAACATGCACAAATATCGACCAAAAAAACCCTACAATAGAGCTAAACAAGCTCGAATCAGCATATTAAATGGAAAAAATAGCTCCAAAGCTCGACAATGAGCACAAACATCGACCAAAAAACCCAACCAAGAGAGCTAAACAAGCTCGAATCAGCATATTAAATGGAAAAAACAGCTCCAAAACTCGACAATGAGCACGAACATCGACCAAAAAACCCAACAAAGAGAGCTAAACAAGCTCGAATCAGCATATTAAATGGAAAAACAGCCTCATAGCTCGACAATGAGCATAAATTTCAACCAAAAACCCCAACAATAGAGAGCTAAACAAAGACAACTAGCAACATGAATTGCAACATCAACAACTTTACAACTTTGCAATACACAAAATATAAGTTAGTGTAGGTATTTAGGAAATAGCAACATGAATTGCAACATCTAAAGTTTGCAATTAATTAAATATAAGTTTGTGAGGGAATAGTAACAAAACATGTGAAGTAGCAAAATTGAGTGTTGTGTGCACAGAACAACAACACACTATGACATGTCTCATCCTTGAGCCGCAGCAAGACTTGCAAGAAACCTCTTCTGAGCCTCCTTCGTTTTTATAAAAAACCTCCTAGCCTTACGCTCACTTTCATACAAATGATCTAAAACCTTATCAAGGAATTCGTCACTATAAGAGTCACTATGGTTCTTCAAAGCTGCAGCTAATCGTTTAGTCCAATGTATAATATGTTGATTTCTAATTGACTCCGATATTGACTCAACAAAGCTACGTATCAATTTATCATCATTTGAGTGTCGAGGTCTCTTGCTTGAAGATGGCTTTGTGTTGGATTCACGTTGGAATTTTCTAGAAGTGGAGTTTGCGGTAATGTTAGCATCGGATCATGGCTCAACTTCACTCTCAAGTGGAATGTCCATATCATCATCATCAAGAGGAATGACGTTGTTAGTACCAATCTTATCATAAACTGGCCTAACAAAATCACCTCTAGCTTGATCATCACCCATGATCTTCTGTAAATGTTTGTAGAATGGAAGAGGCTTGTTTACATATCCTCTTAGCTTTGAATTCCTTTTATCCTGCAATATGTGAAAAATAGTGCGAAATTAATTATAACCTTCTCACGTCCAAATAAATTAAATGTATTATTACAATAGAATTAATACATGTGCCCATATTTTAAGTGTCTCCTCGTCTAGAATTACCATACAGTTATCCTCATCCCACTCTGCACCACTTATATTGATGCAAGTCTTCATATCATTGAATTTGTTTCTCCAAGTTTTCATGCGATTAATCACATGAAGGTGGGTGTAGCTGGTTTTGAATTTCATGTTCATCTTCATAGTTGTTATTTTGTAAGCCTCAGCTTTGAAGTTTTTATCAACCTTCATTCCGGCATCCGCAAGCTTCGCAAGACACGGTATAAGCTCCGTATCATGATCGGGGAGCCACCACATGTTGGAAACCCCCTTCAAATTGAGGCTAGGAGCTCCTTGTGTTGCAGACACTTTACTCTTTTGAGCCATTTTTTCGGTTTTTTTTAGGGTGACATCTCTTGACTCAAATTAATGACATTGCTTTGATGTCCACCAGATTCACCTGTGGTTGGTGATATTTGTTGTGGACCGCTGCTTTGAGAACTCAAAGTGAGATTATACAAGCTTTGGGGACTGTTCAACATGTTAGTGAATGAAACATGTTGTTGGCTATTCCACTGTAGTTCCCTTCAAATATTGGAAGATGTGGGAAAGAAGACGGCATTGTTTGAGGCGGATTGAACGGTTGATTTGGATATGAAACCAAATTGACATTAATACTGTCTGAATCAATTGGTGGTGCATGTGGTGAATTGGGTAAATTTTCTTTTCCTCCCTTTTTGTTAGACATACCTATGTGTCATAATAAAAACAAACCAGAAATTTAGAAGTACGTAGCTGCAATATGTGAACAACTACATTATCCGTACAAATGCAATTATGAAATAAAAAACATAATTAAATATGAGAAATTACATTGTTCATACAAGCACAATTATGAAATATGCGAAAACAATAAAACTACAAGCCAATTTCTGTGGTGTCGCCATCTTTATATTTTGCACAATAATCAACCCACATTGCCCATGCAATTTGATCCCTAAGATCCTTCCATTCATTTTTTGCATCACGCTCCTCTCTTTGTGTCCTAGATTGATTGAAGTTAACTACGTTTGAATCATCTTTGTTTGTCACGTCGTCATTCTCCTCATCAATTAGTACATTCTCATTCAAGATGTCATCTTGTGGATCTTCAATTGTAATAAAATTATGTAATATAGTACATGCTAAGACGATGCCCACTTGTGTGGGGAATGGGTAATTAGGTTTCACCGAAAGAATTTTGAACAGATTCTTCAATGTGCTAAAGGTTGATTTAATTTTAGACCGTAAAGAAGAGTGTCTTAAATTGAATAACTCCCTACTATTTCTGGGTGTCCTACTAATTTGTTCCTTTAAGTGATAACGAACGCTACGATATGGAGAGATGAAGCCAGACATGGTAGTGTATCCAGCATCACAAAGATAATATTTGCCTACATTATAAAAAAAAATTCGTGATCAGTTAGATCATATTATTTAATTTACTATTTATTAAATGAGGTGGAAGAATACCATCATATACTCTCAATCCGTAAGATGTGGTCTAGACAACGCGTCTTGTAAAAATCCTATAGTTATTCGCCGCACCTTCCCACCTAGCTAGGACATATGTGAAAAGTTTATTTGGAGTGTATACAGCTAGAACATTTTGCGTTACACCTTTACGCCCTCTAAACCGTGCAACTAGATTAGAGGGTAACATTGCATCAATATGTGTTCCATCTATCATACCACTACAATCCTATCAAAACTCGATAATGATTGAAATTATTAGTATCTCATATCATTAAATTATGAAAATCACTAACATGCACAACAATTTATTTCTCTCTTACCTTGAAGTAAGGAAAATAGTTTGGATTGTTGACAATCTCCGGTGGAATTCTCTCTTACCTTGAAGTAAGGAAAATAGTTTGGATTGTTGACAATCTCCGGTGGAATCTCATTAGGTGCTTGCTTCATGTATCGATCACGAAGACCATTCATAGCTTGTAGGATCTTATTAAAGTACCTACTAACTGTTTCACCCGATCTTATAAATTCGGTCCTTATTACTCTGTTTTTGGTTTTATGACCCACTATGCAAAGAAACATAGCGAGTTGTTCTTCAACTTGAAGGTGTTTTGTATCCTTTAGAAAATCATGATTTCGCATAACATCCGCAAGTTTGAAAAAAGCTTTAGGCCTCATTCTAATATAAGACCTACAACTATCACTATATCCTTCAAAGATGCGCTTGAAGTGGGCATTTCTACAATAAATTTTCCTCATCTTGTCCTCTCTTGGAGCATAACAAATGGATTTGCACCTAGCATGAATTCTTAATAAACAAACTATTATTGTAACCACGGAAGATATAGTCGTATTAGCACACACCCTCTTTATTTGTTCTTCATCTACACCATCCATCTACATTCATTACAAAGAAAAAAATAGTTTAAGATGTTTATGCAACAATAAACAACGACAAAAAATGAAAAATAAAAAATAAAAAATCAAGAACCAAAATCTTCTTACAGAAGAATACATGAGTGGAGCCAAGTGTAGGGACTCTAGTTAGGTTGAACGAGACATGAACATAGAATAACTCTTCTTACTAGGAGGTGCTATATTTAGAATATGTGAATTTGTTAAAAATGGCTTTAATTAGGGAAAAGGAAGCTTATTCTCATGAGTGTAGGGGGACCTCTTGTATTCATGGCTGTTTTAGGTAGTTTCCTAATAATGTGGCATTAGATATTGAATACATGAACAAGGTGAAGAAAATCTGTCTTTTTCAGATTTTAGTTTCACAAGAAGATTTTAGTTTTAGATTGCAACAAAAATAACTTTAGACTATGCGCATGTTCTGTTGTTATTAGTATTTATTAGCCCTGCCTTTGGATAATTAAATATCACATTGATATATATGAAATGAATTCATTTGTCAAATAGTTAAGTTTATGTTTTAAGGTCTCTGGCCCATATATGTGCAAATAAGCTGTTAGATGTTAGTATTTCCTTTAGCAGATACTATTTCCCATCCCCATTTGAAGGAAAATATCATATCTTGTAATTTAGTATTAGATCATTATTGTAAATGAAATGACTTATTTTAGCATGTTTGAGAGGTTCACTGTGTTTTCTCAACAACAAGCATATACATTTGAAGACATAGTATTGACCCCAAGCGTATTTCATGCCAATACAATGATCAGGAAATAGTAGAAACAAAGTAAAACTAGATATAACCATTGCACTTCCCCATCTTTGATATTTATTAATCTTAAGGTTCTTTAAAACTTAGGTTTTACTAATAATCACCACCATCAAAACATACCCAGATAATTTAGGGTTTCTGCTTAGCAATCATTTCCATGGCCAAGAGCTCATTATCTAGTTACTCGAAAATTTCACACTCCCATGCTCACCGTTATTGCCAATGTAAACACCATGAATCAATAATCTTGAATTTATATTCTTTAAAATGGACAAAGACATTGATCACAATCCAGATCCATTATTAACTTAGATCCTAGCTTCCCTTAAAGTGCAAAAAAACAAATTGAAGCCAACAAAGAAGCTTACTAAAGTTAAAATTAATTAAAGCACTACATATCGCAAAAAATAAACAAACTCAATTGAAAAAACTAATTCAAAAGAGCAAAAGAGTGAACGAAGCCACTACAATTCTCAAATTAAACGCAATACTCATCTCAAAAGACGACACAAACCATCAAATTAAGCGAAGTCCAAGTTCAGAAACTAACTATAAACAACAAAAGTAGCTTAAAACACAAAAAAGCAGCCAATTTATTACCGTGAGAGCATTGAGATCAGAAACCCTAGCGTGAGATTTGGGAACGAGATGGAACCATAGCGTGTGATTTGGGAACGAGAGAATCCTAGATCTGGGGCGATAGGGGAGAAGGAACGAGACCTAAATAGTTGGCGCGAAGGACCAAACCCAGTTGGATTGGGGTGGGGGGGGGGACGAATGGATTTGGGCGGGAAGGAGATTGGGAATTTCCACCCTAGAAGCGGTTCGAGAAAATATCACGGCCGAGGAAAATGGATATGGAACGTGTTTTGTTGATTAAATAAGGAAGGTGTCAGATTTCCTGTTGATTTCCTCTCATTTTGAGAGGAAATTGTTTTTTATAAAATTTGATAGTTTTTGATATTTTATAGAAAATATTTCTGTAAATTTTTTGTTGAACCAAACATAATTTATAGAAATCTATAGAAAAGTTTTAATTACAAAATCGTCATTGTCAGATATTTTGAGAAAAGTTTTCTCAAAAAGTGTGCAACCAGACAGCCCCTTAGTTTCAACGTACCTTACATTAAAGTCAATAAGGAACAAACTGTAAAATATGTTCAACAAGTTGCAATCAGTTTTAAAGTCAAATTTGTTATAATATGTATTCCTATTGGTATCTTACAAGTCACAAGTAGAAGATTGTATCTTTATTTACATGGTCATTCCTTATAATACTTAAACTTAGTATTCTGGTGCATATGATTTGTGCATGACACTAGTATGCATGAAAAGTTGTGGTGTTCGAGTATTTCATTTTTACTTAGATTTTTTCGATCATGTTAATTGCCTATCACATAAGTTTTTAAAGTATAATAATAGGCTTTGAGGGTATTTCTTGGGATTTTAGAATTGTGACTCACATGGCTAGTTGCTAGTGTTTTTTTAAGTATAGTAATAAATAAACTTTCATACTTTGACCGTTTTTTATCACATTTTGTTATTCACTTTTCATATTTTCAATCTAGAACGCAATAAATTATTATTTTTTGAGATTAAAAGCATGCGAAGATGTTGTACACATAAAGCTGTATTAACAATACAGCAATTAATCAAGATTAGAGACTATGCTATGAATCTATTGGGTGGTGCTGAGAATTTGAAGAATCTAATTAACTCTTGCTGTGTCAACTCCAAAGTCCACTTATCTGCTGATGCGGCATAATTATGTACCAAAATTGCAAGTGCACAATTTATCAAGTTATAGTATAAAAAATATCGATCCCACGAGGAAGGTGATTTTAAGAGATTATTAAACTTGGTTCTTATATTTTGTGCGTGACAATTAGGAATAAAGAATAAGTGTGATTGTATGAGTTGATACTCTTTGGGACATCACTTGTCATTATTATACCTCCTTGATCAAGATTTCTCCTCCAGCGAAGAAGAAAAGGCAAATCAGCTTGAAGCAGTTTGCTGTCTATCTGTTCCCTAATTTGGAGGGTGACTCCGGCGAGCCCCTTCGTGAGTTAGATGTCCTGACCCCTACCGCCATTAATGAGTTGATGGAGAAGGTTGAGGCTCGTTCTTATACCATTGCCCGTGCTGAGGGAGCTTTTCCTGTAGGAACCAAGTTTCGTTCGTTCCTCCGCCGTGCACAGAAGTCCATCGAGCCCCGGACTCTGCTAGCAGGCTACATTGCCCTCTGGTTGAAGAAGTGTGTTGTTCCGTACCGGTCTTTAGACGCCTTACCTCTCGAGGTGCTCTTCCCCGCAGTTCAGCTAGCTTATGGGAGGGAGCTTTCACTGCTCCCAGCGATGGTTGCCGGCATCCATTGCGGGCTTAGGTATCTGGTCAGTGGTTTTACACGGGTGGGTTCTAAACCATCGACCGAGCTTACTTGTCCGAAGGTCGAGCTTCCTTATGCGTATCTGATGGCGTGGCTCGTTCTTCACCGTCCTGACTTGATGTCGGCGCCCAGCGTTGTTGATGTCCCCGTTCCTTTCGTGCAGCTGTTGGAGAGGAGCAGATGGCTCGGGAAGAAATTCGGCGATGCACAACGAGAGCTTCAAGTTCGCAAGAGCTGGGAGTTCTTCAAGTGTTTTCCCCACTTTTCGGGTCGCTATGGTGATGTGCTGACTGATGAGGAGAAACCCAGAACTAATCGGACTGCTCTCGACGTTGGTTGTTTCCGCTGGTTAGTGAACATCCGTGTTGGGTATCTCGTTCTCCGGGTGAAGAATCATTGCCACATAGAGCCTTACCTTCCCTGCTGTTTTGCTCGTCAGTTCGGCTATGACCAATTATATGTTGGGAATCCGAGCCGTGGTTTGAAGGTTGAGGGGGGGCTTATTGATGGCGTACGGGCATGGCTATGGACTATGGTGGGCTGCACCGGAGCCCACTTTGCTCTTCCTTCATATAGGCGCAAGCCGATGATTACTTTCCTCAGTTGTAAGTGGTTCCTCTCCGCCAATGAATCCATAGGTGTGAGGAGTCTTTCAGAGTTAGAGTCTGAGCACTCGGTCCAGGTCGCTATGATGGCTGCTCGTAAAGCCGAGCTTGCTCAGAAACAGAAGGAGAAGTCTGCCAACCCTCCTCTCTCAAGCAAAAACGATGAAGAGCTCCTTCCTACTGACGATGGTGACGAGACTTCTGAGGAGGAGTATGTGGATATAGATATCGACCAAGAAGAACTTGATGCAGGTTTGTCATACTCTTTGATCCTCTTTCTCAACTTCAATTGATATCAACGAAAGATCTGGTTCATTTAATGAAATAATCCTTATCATTTCAGGTAGGACAGCCGACGACCATGAGTCGCTCGCTTCCCGTCGTGCGAGATTCAGGCCTGGTGGCCAAGCTCCTACCCAGGTTGATACACGTGGCCAGTCCACGCACGAACGACCCGTTGGTTCTATGAGGGGTGATATTCCGAAAAAGAAAAAAATCGCTCATAAACCACACGTTGGTCAGCGCTCCTATGAAGTGGATTTAGGAGACTTCGCCGACAGGGAGGAAGGTAATACTTCGTCGTTTTCATTGCTTTAAGATGACTTACCTTCTGGGATTCGTAATCATGTTCGTAACTATGTTTTATGCTCCAGGGTTCTTTGAATAGGGCGAACTTCCATCGGGTCCGGTATCTCCTGGATCTGATAACATGGATTGCTTTATGCAGCAGATGTGCGACGCCCTTCATGACGGTTCTCTGGGCATCGATCTAAACATTGATCTTGAGCAGGTGAATAGTGTTGAGCCCACCGTCCCATATTCAGGTATATCTACATCCAATGATACCCTCCTCAAGCATGGGGAAAGAGAATCTTCTGTTTTTGCTGCAGGTATTTCTGAGCTTTCCTTTCTTCCTCATCTTCCAACATTTAGGTTATCCTGCAGATGTCGCGATGGAAAAGCCAGTTGAGGATGGAGCCTATCATGATGTAGGTTTCGAGGAACATGGGTGTGCTCCTGTACCAAGTTTCTCGAAACCCGACGCTGGATTATTAGCCGATATGTTGGCTGAGCAGGCCACCAGAAGAACCGCGGGACCACCCTTTGAGAGTGATTCATTCACAGGTATATATCCGATTCCCTTCATCTTGCCTGATCTTTTGTCTGACTAACGAAGGATTAATATTATAGCGCCAGTCATTGGGATTAACCCAATATCGATTCCCGGCATATCTAGCTTACCGCGGAGTGACGGACTTGCAAGTACGCATACGATTTAGGGACATCATACTCCTCTTTATTTATCTGACTTTTGACTAATATATGGGTGCAATCATAGGACCAGCCACCGGGACTGATACTCTTATGACTCCTGGCATTCCCCGGATACCTGAGGATGATGGACCTACAGGTATGCAGATACTAATAAAGAAGTGTAACTATAGGACCAGCCGTTGTGCCTGATGCCACTACAGTTTCTGGGACTGATAGTTTGCCTGAGAGCGGTGTTTCCCCGCCACAGCCGAGAGGTATGACTGATTTGCCTACAGGGGTTGATATACCCTCCATGACTACTCCTGCAGTTATTTCGGAACCTGTCGGATTTCAGCCTGAGGGGCCTCCGTTGGCCTTGGTATGCTCGGAATTTGCCTTTAAATTTTCTTATCGTATTCGATAATCTCTTAGCTTTCCACATCAGAATTTGCCTTTGAATTTCCTTATCGTATTCGATAATCCACTGAACTTCTATGTTGTTGTTTGTAGGATCTCGATCCTCTCTATATGAGCGTGTCTGCACCCTTTTGGTTGATACCGATCCAGACAGAGACATTTTTCGTACGGACCTCGGCTTTTTTACCGCCTTTTATAACGGCATGATTGAGAAACTTCTTCACAGAGGATACTGTTTCGATCAGTTCAGGCGTTCCTTTTCTCGCCACATGATGATGATGAGGGAAGAAGGATATCCAGAGTTGGCCGATTCCTTCACTTATATGGGTTGAAACAAGCTCCTAGGGCTTGGTATGCTCGCCTCTCTAGTTTTCTTATTGAAAATGGTTTTTCAAAAGGAACAATTGATAACACACTTTTTGTGAGAAAAAGGAAAAATGATTTCATTTTGGTTCAAATATATGTGGATGACATTATTTTTGGTGCTACTAATGAATCCTTGTGCAAGGAATTTTCTAAAGTTATGCAGGATCACTTTGAGATGAGTATGATGGGAGAGCTTACATTCTTTCTCGGGCTCCAAGTCAAGCAAACTAAGGATGGGATCTTCATTTCACAAAGCAAGTATGCGAAGGAATTGGTGAAGAAATTCAAGTTGGAGAATTCTAAGCATGCGCCTACTCCCATGAGTACTAGTGTTAAGCTTGATGCGGATGAGAGTGGTGAAGATGTGGACCAAAAACTATACCGAGGTATGATAGGTAGTCTTCTTTATCTCACCGCTAGTAGACCCGACATCATGTTTAGTGTATGTGCTTGTGCACGTTTTCAAGCCTCTCCTAAAGCATCTCATTTAATTGCGGTTAAAAGGATCATTAAGTATGTTAATGGAACTTTTAACCTTGGTTTGTTTTATCCAAAAAGCACCACTTTTGATTTATATGGTTTTTGTGATGCCGACTTTGCCGGATGTAAGGTAGATCGCAAGAGTACTAGTGGAACATGCCAATTCTTAGGAAATTCCCTTGTTTCTTGGGCTTCCAAGAAACAAAATTGTGTTGCATTGTCCACTACGGAAGCGGAATACATTGCCGCCGGCCTATGTTGTGCTCAAGTTTTATGGATGAAACAAAGTTTAGTTGACTATGATTTGAATTTTCAAAATATTAAAATCTTTTGTGATAACACAAGTGCCATAAATATTTCCAAAAATTCGGTTTTGCATTCTAGAACTAAGCATATTGACGTGCGCCATCATTTCTTACGCGATCATGTAGAGAGACAAGATGTATCCCTAGTATTTGTTGACACCAAATCTCAACTAGCGGATATATTCACTAAGCCTCTTGGAGAGGATGATTTTTGTCGCATAAGAAATGGTTTGGGCTTATGCACTATGTGAAAGTTCTACATTGCTTGCTTGACTAGTTGTATTTTGCATTTAGTATTTCTCTTTACCCCATTTTTGATGGTGACAAAGGGGGAGAGAAATCTCCTCATTTGTTGCATATATTTAGGGGGAGCTCATAGATAGGGGGAGCACCTATCTATAAGCTATCTTATTTTTGCTCTTATATAATGGTTGGTTGTCATCATCAAAAAGGGGGAGATTGTTAGCCCTTATGTTTTGATGATGTTCTTACAACCACCATTATCGGTACTAATGGCTTATTGAGTGTAAATGTAGTAAAATCATTTGTCAAGCTCGTTAGTGCCATTAACGGAGGATGGATGGAATATACGCTAAAACGAAGACATCTAAAGGAGGAGGAGGCCAAAAAGATGAAGCAACGTTATTTCAAGAACAACAAAGTCATATAAAAGCTTCATCCGATTCAAGCTATATCAAAGCTCAAGTATTGCTTTCAATATGAGGATATTAGCTTTCTTTTGTTTTTCTCTCTAGTGCTAGAATGTAGGCAAAGAGTTACTGAGTTTACTTGAAGCTATTGGGAATCACACACACGTTTTTAGACTTGTGTCTTTTAAGCGTTTTTCACAAAACACTATTTTTCACAAGTATGAGTACCTATCTGCAAAATTCTTTTTCCAAACAGTTTGTTTTTAGTATTAAAAACATTTTACAAAGTTTCAGAATTTTCAGAGGTCAAATGAATATTTTGCAAATATTTCAAGTTGGTCAAAAATCTGTTTTCTGGAAAATATCAGAAATCGGTCGACCGGCCCGGTCGACCGATCCTATGACCTTTCCTTAGTATCTTTCCAGATTGTCGTCGGTCGACCGATACGGTCGATCGAATTTTCAATCTTCTAATCGGTCGACCGTGCCGGTCGACCGACGAGGCTCTGCTTGTTTTTCCAAATTTCTTTAGCTGCCCGCGGTCGACCGAATTTTTCGGTCGGTCGACCGACGGTATTTTTCGGTCGACCGAAATTCTCTTCGGTCAACCGATTTTTCACTTTTGGTCAGCCGCGACTTTTTTAAACGGTCGTTTGCCTCGATCGTTGTGCTTTCACCTAATGGTGTTTGGCACAGTCTGAGGTCACAACCTGCAAAGTAGATTATCTTCCTAAATAGGAAGATTGGGTTTTTGTTTTTATTGATTTAAACTCTTTTATAAAAACCCCCAAGCCTGCTTCTTCTTCCCTAAGCCCTAACGTTTGAAAAAGAACCAGAGAGCTCTGTTCTTCCTGAGAAAATTTTCAAATCTGGTTTTTTCTTCTGTGTTCTTGTGTGTGTTTCACTTCCCAGCTTCAGTACTCTTCTCTTTGCTATAGGGGCTTGTGTAAAGAGAGTGTCTTGCATTTATCTTCTGCTGCTGTGAGTGAGATCTTGTGTAGATCGACTGTGAGGGAGTGTGATCTGTGAGATCAACTGTGCAGTGAGAGAGAGATCTTGTGGGATCATTGTGTAGACGAAGTTCCGGCTTCCAAACCGGATGTGTTAGTGGATTTCTCCTCGAGAGTGGGGAGCGGGGACGTAGGTCAGCGGGCCGAACCTCGTTAACACATCGCGCGTCAAGGATAACGATTCCTAACTTTATCTCTTTCTTTATTATTGCACTTCTGTTACTGTGGTTTGTTTGTACTGTTTTTTTTTAAATTGCATATTAGAGCCTCTTGACCCTAATCACCCCCCCTCTAGGGTCCTTCATGTTAAACATCATCAAAACAAGAAGGCCAACATCTCGGACAAGGCCCCTTTAGCCGAGACACTGGTTAGTGTCTGAGTTGGGAATAGCCTCCAAGTCTGATTTTCACGTAGTTTTAAATTTTGGAATCCAGACTTTGTAGGATTTTGGTGATTCTTTAGCCACTATTTCCCTCTTCGTTTCTTGCGTCTTCTACGCGAGGACACAGGCATAAGCGGCATTTTTATGATGCTTTTGGATGCGTTCCTTAAGGATCGAACGGGCTCTTTTGATGGGAACACATTCCTTCATCTATAGTTTGGCAGAGATGTGAGTGGTTTACCTTTGAGGCAACTGGATCACTCAATGCTTCTTTGATTCCAGATCCGCGTGGTAGCGAATCCCGTCCACTTGCTCCAAAGCTTTGGCAAGCTGACAAGCACGACGCTGGCATTGCCTATTATGACCCTCTTCGTTAGAGACAACAAAATTTTATTTAACGAATCCTTGTCTGGAAAGGAGTCATTATGAGTAGAGGTTTCGATATTGTTAATTGCCGGAGCAGCGTTACAAGGGGAAGCCTCAACAACAATGGGGCAAGAGTCAGAATTGAAGACTGTAAAACCTTCTTTTAAAATAAAATCTTCCTGTATTTGCAAGGAGAGGAAGATCTTGAGGACAATGATGACAGATATTCCTCAAACTTTGCTTGGTCGAATTCATACTCAACCATGGATTCAACCATAATCTTAATCGGTTGCGATACGACGGTCTCGACAGCGAGACCGTTGGCTCCCACTATGGTCACCAGCGTGTTTGCGTCAGAAATTATTTTATTTGTTGAACTCATTACAATTCTTTTATAGAATACAATGAATTCAAATAAACAAGCCTTTTTATAAGATCTCTAGTTACAAACAAATAACCTCCTAGAAACACACACAGAGGATATTTATCACCCACTGTTTGTGTAGGATCTTTGCCTGTACCGAGGGTACGTTAGCCCGTGAACGACTGAATCACAGATCCAAGTTGAATCATGATGAAGGCTTAAGGTTGATGTTTTATTTTAGAAACAAAGACAGAAGTGGATATCTTAGCAAAGTAAGATAAAACACTCTTCCCAAGATCAAGTCAAAGCTTAGATTTCGAGGAAACACCGAAGGCTCTTGGAAGTGCTTGAAATTGATGAAGACTCTTTCTCTCTTGCTCAAAATCTACCAAATTGCTCAAATCTCTGCTCTCTCTGCCTTGGTTACCGTGCATATGGATGATAAGGAAGCATTTATAGTCCCTAGGATAGTTACTGAAGGTAAGAGATCAAAATAGAGCTCATTTGTGAGCTTCCCATATCCAAGACACATTCTGTGTCTCGAAAGAAGGAAGTCTGTTAGCCCTTTTTGTAACTAATTTTCCCATGTTTTAATGTCATTATCTCTACAGTTATAGGCATATTTTACGTTTGTAACAGCCCTCCCATGTTCACACACGATCCCCAGC